TTAAAAAAAAATATACTGTACCCAAGATAATATATATACTTTTAGGTAAGGTACAAAAAAGATTTGTAATAGATTATAAATTAAAAAAATTCGAGTTGATTATTATTTTACTATATTAATATCACTTAAGCTTCTAATAAAAATTGTAAAGAATGTTATTACAATTCAAATAGTAGCAAAAGCATTAAAATCAGCCTAGTAAATTATGAGATATGTGCAAAAAATATTTATAATTTAAGGGTACAGTTTGTGTAACCTAAATTTATATATGATCTGTATGGCAAATCATTTTTTATAAAACGTGAAAAAACTTTATTATAAGAAAATTTGTTGTATTGAGAAAAAAGTTTTAAAAATATTTTTTTATAACTTATTTTGTTTTTTTTGTTTTAAAAAAAAGAAGTATGTATACAAATATTATACATATTAAATAGTTTAAAGTTAGTTATTACTTATGAATGGTAGTCTTAAATTTGTGAATAGGAAATAACCAATAAGATTTTATTTTTTTATATAGTAATATAGATCATATCTACTCAATGCTGGTATAATCAAATAACTTCTATATACCCATCATGTATTCTAATACACTGTAAAAATAATAGCTGGTTTTTACATGATAATACATATAATTTAACTGTATTGGATATGCATCAAGAATTTAGATTATATAAAGAAGGAGGTGTATATATTTAAACTATTTTAGAAGGTGATGTTACAAATACATTTGTTCCTTTATTATCCGGATATTGTATAATTATTCATTGAGTCAAAAATTTTTATCGGCTTGGTATTGCATTAAATCAATAAGAAAATTTATTTTTTTAGTAGAATGACTATAGATCTGATATAAGTTTATCGAATTTAAAAGCATCAGGTTATTGTACGCAGTTTTTTTCTAACTTTAAATCATATATTCAATCATCTGGAGAAATATCAATTCCAAATTTGCTTGGTTTAACGGTTATTCAAAATGCTAACTATCTTCAGCAAAAAATTTCTGAAAGGTTTTCTTATTTATATCCAAATTTTGAAAAAATATTAAAAGCACAAAAAAATACAAACCAGTTACAAAATGGAGTTAAGAAATGTGGTCAAAAATTAGTAGAAAATTTAAATTCAACAAAATTAGTCAAGGCTGGGTTGTTATGTAGTTCTGATAGAATGTTATGCGATCCAATTAGTTTTCAAGAATTAGCTATAGAACTAAAGAAAAATCAAAATAAACTATACCAAAAAACACGACAACTAAAAAGATCTAAAGCTGCTATTAAAAAAAACTTATCTTTATCTGATTTGGATAATGAATCTCAGAAAATACAATTAATAATTAATAATCTATTACAAATCTTTTTTGTACCTTACCTAAAAGTATATATATTATCTTGGGTACAGTATATTTTTTTTTAA